ATTCAAAAATATATAAAAATCATATAAAAATCAAAAATTAAAAAAAAAAATACCAGAAAGTACTTTTCGGCAAGTGTGGCAACTTTTACCGAAAAGTACTTTCGCTTTCACTTTTAATTTCAGTGTATAAATGTTCATACATATTAATGTGTTCTGATATGGCAACACACTTGACAATTTATATACACACCGACACAGCCACAATTTTTTTTACCGTATGTGTACTTAGTTTAAGTGAAAAAATATGTATTGTGTTTATATGTAAATATTAAAAAAAAAATTACTTTCATCGTTCCATAGTATGAAGGAGGAGTGTTGGAAATGTTTCTCACCGAATCTCAAAAACACTATTACACCGCCATGAAAAAGTTGGGACGAAAAAAACCACAGAAAGTCATTAAGCGACCAATAAATCATTTTTTAGCAATGTTTTATGATTTATCGAATTCGAGAAGGTAATGATCAAATGCTAAAAGTATGATTTATACAAAATAGTACCTACGTTCGGTTTTCAGTTATCAATTTTCAGTTCGAATTTACTTTATATTCAACTACTTAACTACATACATATAATACATACATTAATAAAAAAAAAAAATGATTATACAATTTTTTCATTAATTTTTTTATTCAACAATTTAAGTTTTTTAGTTTAAAATTTTATATATTTTTTCAATATGCTTTTGCATTCACAACATTTAGTTCAGAAAAGCTGCCGCTATTTGCCATAGTAATGCTCAAGTACAGTAACACCTCATTAATTACATTACCTAGAAGTGCATAATTTTCGCTTACTCGAAGTTTAACAGTTTCGCTCTCTGCTAACTCGCTCTGTTAACATATTTTACTAAATACTTTAGGAACTCTGCTACAGTTTAGTCTATTGAAAATTTGGTATGTTAATATTCTGCTCAAAATTTGCTTACAAACTACTCGTAACTCAAATACTCATTGCTCTTACGCGCGCTCTCTCTGTCTCACTCTCTCTTTCTCTCGCTCTGTTTATTCGAATATTTAACTCTGCTACCAGCATTAAACTGATTACGTCATTAACATACTTACATACATAAATATATATACTTTTTTTTGATTTTTGCGAAAAAGCGTTAATGATTGCATCGAAACCGCTTATAATCTTTCAAAGTGGTTTTCTTCAATTTTTTGGTAAAAGTGTTACAAATTCGTTCATACACACATGCCTACATAACTACATACAAAAAGTATATGGTTAGGTACATTCATAACTGTAAATAAACTCGTCAATTGCGATATTGCCATGCCGGCAATGTTGTGCCCTCGCTCCAAGCATACACACGCCCACAAAACAACTTTAACTGCCTTAATAGCTGAATAATCGTATGATTTGGTGATAAAATTATTTAAACACTTGCTTTCTTCCGCGGATATCCGCGAGTGATGCTATTACTTTTGTTGCCATTGTTGCGGTGTATTCTACAGTTTGTAGTCTCCCTCCAGCAAGGGAGTACTGTAAGCCTAGTGGAAGACCCCAAAACTAACTAGCTACTAACTGCTATGTACTTCTTAGTACCACTATATACCTATGTATATCTTACGAATGTAGTATGAAATTTCACATATTCGTATAACTTTCCATATTAGTGTCGTTTGTATGTAAATTAAAGAAATTTTGCTTGTACCAACTGACTCACCCTGTAAATGTATTGCATCGATCTAGTCCTGTGTATGTACATTAATCCTTGAGGCGTTTGGTTCAATTTGAATCGAATTACATTTTTATTTGTAGTCTCACCACCCCGTCAGTATGTTTGTATGTAACACCTTCTACGTATTCCCTGTTCAATATGAACGGCCTTAACCTTAAAACGTTTTAAGTTTTGAGCACAAATCATTGTGAAAATCTCATCATCATAATTGCATCCTTGCATTGCCGCTTGCTGTTGCCTACATCATTTTACAATTGCATCTTTTTGCTTGGTAAATGTATCGTATATATGTTTATTTTAATTAATCCAGTTTAATTAATTTAATTATATTACTTGTGTAATATATGTATTTTGCTAAAATACTAAATTCCCGCTACTTTAAATATATAGGTTAGACCAGTTTTGGTCCTTCGCGATACGAGGTGGGGTTCAGTTGCTAGGTCCATGAGGAGTAGTCATCCTTTTCAGTGTCTGCTTTGTAAAAATTAATATTTAAAACTTGAGGCAATTAAACTATAAACTGAGTCAATTAGTTCAACTTTCATACAGAGTCAATAGTTTACTCAATCATTTAGTATTCGACAATGGGTGATAAAGAGTTTTAACTTTGTTTGTGGAAGTTTATAAGTGAGAAGATACTGGTTCTTCTCGCTTTGATGCGTATTGTGGCTAGACGTTCATTCACCGGAGTGAATGATAGTACTCGGCGACGAAGTCTCTCTCCCACCACAAATCCCACACGAAACTTGCGCTTCTTTATATGGCCACTGTAGTAAATGCCACAAGGACCTACTCGTCTCTGTCCCAGTCCCGTCCATCAGCCTTTATTTTCACGAGGACATCAACCAGCTGGGCAGCGGCACCTTCCCAATTAAGGGACCGGACATTCCAGGTGCATGCGCTCAAATCATAGTCCTTAATTCGTTTGCCATGGTCGTCATCAAAAGGGGGGTCTCTCATCCGAGTCTGTTGAAAAATTTTCATTGGGGGTGTTTTTTTTACGTGGCGGGTCCCAAACCCAGCTCACAACCCTATTTAGGGGATATTTCGCCTTCTCACTTTAGCTCGCCTTCAAACGGATGTTCTTAGGCTACCGGGAGGATACTTGGTCAAAGACCGGAAGTCGTGAGCTGCTTGAGTCATATGTAAAAGAATCGTTTCTGGCCACTCCCAAGTGAATGGCGATCAGAGAACTTTCCTCACTTGCGTAAACTTCTACACATGACTCCATCCTCCCTTACATTTGAATATTATAAATTTTAGTTAAAAGAAAAGGAAATTAAAAAAATGAACTCATTAAACGTGCCATTAGCCTCTCTCTAGTTTTGGGGCTTTTAACAGGTCATTGTCCTTTTGAGATCCAGGCAGTTAGTTATTCTGGGTGTCATCTGTAGAAGCTGTATGGAAGAGTATGAGGTGGAAGCTCCACTCTTCCTTCTCAGCTGTTCCGTGTTTGGGAGGTCAAGATTTAAAATTTTAGAATTAAACGCCTGTGCAAATTTGTCTTGGCTGCTAAGCATATTGCTAATTTATAAGTTCAAACACAGGAGTTCTTCTTTTCCATGGCCTCACGAAGGACTACACATCGTAGTCTAAGTGCAATCTTTCATCGGCCATCTAACCTAACCTAACCTAACCTAAAGGAATTTAAAAATACGGAAAGTGGCAAATATGTTCATAGTCTAAAAAAACAAAAGAGTTTTTGGAAAAAGACCGATTTATGACTACAACCGAGTTATTTTATATGATAATACTTGTATTATTATCTTTCATCTAATAAATAAGTAAATTTCTTAAAATCGGCTCCAATTAGTTCGATATACTTGAGCCAGCGATGCCATAACTTTCTTAACCCATCTGAAAAATGAATTTTCATTTCCCGTCCTTTGCCTCAAATGTTTGAACTGCTTGTGACCTTTTATACTTACAATTAAAGTCGCACAAGACTATCTATCTGCTAAATACGATGAATGACGCAGCTGTTCGCAGCCTAATTAGATCGTGTCGACCGCGGAGGTATAAGCCGGTGCCTTGTAAAGGCGTAAGAATGCCTTTTACTCCCCAAAATGATCGTTTTTACTGCAATTCGGTATGAAATCATAGAATATCATATTAGAACCCCTGTGTTCAACAGGCCGATAGCATAGTCTTATAGACAATTCTAATACTGTTGGGATCGAGGTCATATAATTGGTAAAACAATAACAATAACAGTATTTGGCTTTGCCATGAAATCCACTGGACATGTTGCGCGACGGTGCCGAAATAATAAGCAACATATGACCCACGAAGCCTTATGTGACCTACTCTATCATCTATTACGCGAGCTTTCAATTAACGGTGTGAAGATTTTGTTACGTTATCTTCCATAGCGATTGTTTTCGAAACACCTGCACGTGACTTGCCAAAAATCCGATTTTATAATCGCCAAGAGTCGAGTCACCAACCGGTATTGATTTCCTTTTTTTATAAATTGAAATACGAGTCCACTTAGGCTGAAAATTTGACGGCAACCATCTTGCAGAATGAACTATATAAAAGTGTGACTAAGCACTTATTGGTCCCTTGCTGGGTTTTAAAAACAAAACTGTCACAAAACTTTGAGCTACCTTATTTGCTGTAGCTCTGCGGTTCCAAATGACCTATTAGATATATTATTTCGCAACCTGTTCGTGGTTCGAATAAACGTCCGTCAAGTTGAATAAAGAATGACAGCCTAATTTCCCCATTGAATAAGTAACAAATGTTTTTTTTCATTAATATGAAATGCTTCAGAAACAGTATACTTCTATATTCTCTTGCGCCTAAGCATTTTCCACATATTTTTTCCAGTAGAGCTCGGTACTGCTATATAATTTCTACTTAACTCTGTAATTATTCGAATGCATAATATAAATTCCATTAAATATTCTGAGACGAGTCTAGCATTGAAACGCTTTATACCTAAAATATTACCCGAAATCTGTTGAGTCGACTCATAAGAAATATTGAGCTCCTCTGCTGTCTCTTTAATGCTAATACGATGATTTTCAAGTACTATTTCTTCTACTTTTGCGAAGTTATCGTCGTGAACGACTCGTATGAGAAAAGTTCCCTAGAGAAACCTGTAACATGTGGTAGGGAGATTTCTTACGAACTTAAAAAAGGGTTGTAACAATTTAGGAAATGTTTTTTTTTTTCGGTTTGGGGACGCAGATTATGTAAATGAACCAGTCCTGGTCAAATTTGATCAGATGGTATATAGTCTTACTCTAAGCATCTACATATATGTAATCTGTTTATTTTTTCGGTTTGGGGGCGCAGTTAATTTAAATAGATCAGTCCTGCTCAGGTTTGATCAGATAGTTATAGTATTATTGTAGGCATCCATAATTTTTGTAACAAGTCTATTCAAATGGTTATTTGCATGATTTTATTATTAGTTTTTAAAATATGATATATTATATAAATATAAAATATTACTTTTTGAATTTAAATAAGCAGCAAGATCTTCTTCAAACTAAAATATGTACCGCAAATAGAGTAGAACTATTCAGTTGCAATCTGTATTCGCTGAAATTATTATAAACAAACTGCCTCACTTTCGTAATRCTTCCGTAGTGCTAGACACATGACATATCAAGCTTTTTCAATATCATATTAAAGCCYTTTTAACTCGCACAATTTTTAAGAATAATTTTGAAATAATTTTTTTGTTATGCTTATTTAGTTTGAATCAAATTAATTTCTTATATAAAAATGGAAAAAAAATTTGGTTATGTAAATAAGTTTTTTTTAACAGTTAACATGTATATTTCCTCCAAATGAGTATGACTAAAATGTGTACTTTTTTCAATAACTCTTCTCCCCCCTTCTCCCTATGGCTAACGTTACATGTWAACGTCACAACTTGAAACAACAACAAAAACACTGCAAATATTGTAATAACTGGCAACGTGTGCAAACAACAACACTGAACAAAAAACACAAAAAACAACAACAACAACAACAACAACAACTACAACTGTAATAATTATAATAATAAATAATATTAACAACAACAATAACAACAAAACAGATTCGAAATAGCCATATTTGTATTGATTTTTTTAAATATGTTAACCATGGGTATCGAGCACTACAACCAACCGCATTCTGTGTTTTTCATACTCGAAGTAAGCAATGCATTTTTTACCACCGTCTTTGGTCTGGGTAAGTAGCGTCAACAATTATCTAGATCTAGTGTACCTACTACTAACCACTTGCATGTTGCTATAATGTGCGTGTTTTTTTTATTTTTATTCTACTATTTCTTGTGTGCTTTTGTTTTTTTTTTTTGTAACCTCTGTGTTGCACTAAAATCCCGTTTTTCGTTTCGCCTACCCAAACAGAGGCGATCGTCAAGATCATCGGTTTGCGTTATCACTACTTTACTGTGCCATGGAACGTTTTCGATTTCCTACTTGTACTCGCCTCAATTTTTGGCATCCTCATGGAGGATATCATGATCGATTTGCCCATCAGCCCAACCCTATTGCGTGTGGTACGCGTCTTTCGCATCGGTCGTATACTGCGTCTTATTAAAGCGGCCAAGGGTATACGTAAACTATTGTTCGCTTTAGTTGTCTCACTGCCGGCGCTATTTAATATTGGCGCACTATTGGGATTGATCACCTTCATCTATGCAATATTGGGCATGTCACTGTTCGGCCATGTTAAGCTGCAGGGCGCCTTAGATGATATGGTGAACTTTCAGACATTCGGACGCAGCATGCAGCTGTTGTTTCGGCTAATGACCTCCGCTGGTTGGAATGATGTGCTGGAATCACTGATGATTCAACCACCCGATTGCGATCCCTTCTTCAATAAGCAAACAAACGGAGACTGCGGCCATCCCCTATTGGCCATCACCTATTTTACTAGTTTCATTATAATCAGTTATATGATTGTGATTAACATGTACATTGCAATTATTTTGGAGAATTTCAATCAGGCACATCAAGAGGAAGAGATCGGTATTGTCGAAGACGATTTGGAAATGTTCTATATCAGATGGTCCAAGTTAGTATTAAACACTTACTTACATAAAACAACTTAACTTTATCATCATTCCAAWTCAAATTYAYACACAATAAAATACTGTTATGTATATTAATCGCTAYTTACAGATACGACCCACACGCTACACAATTCATACACTTTGGTCAACTTTCGGATTTCATTGCCTCGCTCGATCCACCGCTTGGCATTTCGAAGCCCAACACTGTAGCGTTGGTCTCATTCAATTTGCCGATATCGAGGGGTAATAAAATTCATTGCCTTGATATATTACACGCACTAGTCAAACATGTGTTGGGTCATGTTGAGGAGACGGACAACTTCAAGCAGTTRCAGGAACAAATGGATGTGAAATTCAAGAAACAATTCCCTACACGCAAAGAGTTGGAAATTGTTTCGTCGACACGCATATGGAAGCGTCAGGAGAAGGCGGCCAAAACCATACAGAATGCCTGGCACGAATATCAGCGGTAAGTTTAGTGATTGTTAGGTTTTTGTAAGCGATTAGGTCGTTTGAAACTCCCATTCAGTTAGTGGTGACTTTGAAGCTCGCGAGAAAAGAAATTCCGCGTCGAAGGGCTTGAAAATAGAGAATTATATACTTTTAAATATGATGTTTTAACAGCCTCTAAACCTTCTCGCTCTTCTGAGTATTCTTCCGCAACACTTGTACCAGTTCAATAGATCACAATCTAAGATCCTGAACGCATCAGGCTGACAATATTTAAAATATATCAGGGGTAAGAGATATATTACAGAGTTTGTCCGGAAAGTAATAGGACTGATTTTCTTCCATCGTGTCTGTACTTCGGAGCATTCGCGCACCGACTGGATTCGGTACGGGGCGTTCCTAGCTARCGAACTAGTGCCTGGAGAGTTGGGACAAACATTTTCACGCGACATGTTTCTATGAGTGGTGCAAGCCGTAAATGCAACGTTCCTTGAAGCAGAATTCTGTGTGAAACTCGGTAAATCTGCGGCGGAGACGTCCTTTGTCCAGTACAAACCATTAACGATAAGTTTCACATGGAAGTCCTCTAGAGACTCAAACGAAGGGTCAATCGGGTCCGACAAGACATCGCAGCCGATTGAAAGTTGCACCACGACAACGCCACGGCTCACACTGCCTTTCTTGTGAACAGCTACCTAACCAAGACTGGCATCTCAACGCTTCMGCAGGCGCCCTACAGCCCAGATGTGGTCCCCACGGACTTTTTTGTTTCCCTGCCTGAAAAGGTCGATGAAAGGCAAGTATTTCGAGACGATAGAGGGCATCCAAGCAGCCTGCACCGCAGCTCTCAAGGCTATTCCGGAGAATGCCTTCCGTAAYGCCTGCAATGCTTGAAAAYCGCGCTAACAGCGCTGCATCGACCCAGACGGAGCTATTTTGAAAGGTTTTGAAGAATAGTAACGATGGGTTGAATAMATTTTTTAAATCGACTCAGTCCTATAACTTTCCGKACAAATCCTRTAAAATTCGTTAGCCTGAATTTCCGWTGTTCGATCTCGYTGCGAGTTTATGATATGGTATTATGTTTTTTTAATAACGTGACATCAACAGCGAATATTTAAGCACATTGATATTTCTGTCTTCCTTACAGCATGAAGAAGGAGAAGGAGCGCTCCAACTCGGGTGAYAGCATGACGCAGACATCAAGCCCCGGCGGTTGGCAGTCCAAACTGTCAGCGCTCAATTTCTTTCATCTGCAAGTAAGTCAAACCTATTTTTATCAACAGAACAACAAAAAAGATGCAAAACACATAAAATTTTACTTGAAATGGCAGGTCAGTCGACGTGGCACTCAGTGCTCCAGCCGCGCCTCCTCACGCAAGTCTTCACGCGCTTCCGATGCCTCAGATCTGAGCGAATTGGCCGGTCCATGGTTGAATCTGCCGCTAATGTTGGTCTCTGGCGCCGATGATGTGGTGAAGGACATCAAGCAACAAAGCGAAGAACTCGGCAAGCGGTACTTATTACATTACCTACACATTAACACATAACAAATAAATTAGCTAAATGAATTTTTCAACAATTGGTACGAATTAAACTAAATAAATTCCAATTAATACGCAATGCATTGCAATTTTTGACGAAACCTATACCATGACATATACTAAATACAATTTTAAAATAATCTATATTACTTACAATTACTTAGCCACCCATTTTATGCCACAGCATTTTGTTTGTTTTATAAAAAAAAAAATTGTAAATTTGTGTCTTAAGTCCTATTTCTAGAATGTCCTCTTGTCTCTCCCTAACATATGAGTCATTGCTCGCAGATATGGTCTCAAACGTCTTGCAAAGTGGCTCACAGTCAAGTGATTTAAATTTATTAGCAAATCACAATGATTGTGAAAGAGGTAATTGCAGGCGGTAGTATAACAACTACATACCACATACATATCTACTATATAGTCTAGTGTAGCCCATTATCAATAATTATAATCAACTTCACCATTAATATTATGTAACTATCTCAGTATACAATACTCCACTCAACTATTTAGCTCATATGAAATGCAAATCAAGTAAATTACTTTGTAGGCGCATATTGCATACTAATTGAAATGAAATTTATAAAAAAATTGGTCTCACTTTTTTTTCAATACATACTTATCTACATAATTGATTGCATACTGTCATAGCGTCATAGCGGTCTCTACAACAACTGTACATGCTCCTCATATGTACTATTTGCCTTACGAAATGTTCACGCTCGCTCTATATTCTCACTCACTCATCCAAACATATGTACATTTGTATATCGAAATACTTGTAAAATGAAATATTCACCATCGAACTTCCATCGAATGATTGATTCTACTATTTTATGCCGTTGAAAATATTTTACAATAATTTAACAACATTTTGCAATTGTTACAGTTATGTAAAACAACAAATATAGTACATAATTATACAGAAAAGTAAACAAATTCGATGAGTACAATTTGTAAGTAGTGGCCCAAACTATTTTTATTCTTATTTGATTGTATTAATTTTCTATAGAAATAGAAGACTCTTTAGATTTGTAATATAAGTGAAGCAAAATAGTTAAATATGCTTGTAGTAATGAACAAAAATTGCATTAAAATTTCAAAAGACACTCTCAAACTACCTTTAAAAATAAAAAATTTCAAAGCACACTTTTGACTACCTAAAAAAATAACCATTAACTAGTTCAATGAAAGCAATATCTTAAATACCCTCAAAACTTCCAAAACAGTCAATACTATAAATACAATACTTACTTACATAAAATAACTGTCTAAAGTACACTTTTCTGCTCTCCAAAAACACTCTCATCCATTGCAATACGCACGCTCCCACGCTCAGTGCTTGAGCTTCATTCAAATACGACACTTTCCAGTGCTGAATATGAGTTATGTTTGATACAAGAAAAAAACGCCGGTTGAAGTGAAGTTATTACGTTTTTGTGCTTAACGATCTTCAAAATGAATTTTCGTCACTTTTAAAATTTTGAAAATTCATTTTGAATATTGTTAGGCGCAGAAAACAAGCAACGTTCGAAGCAACACTGCGCGAAATGAAATAAGAATTAACATTTGGGTATTTATCTATAAAAAAGTTTAGTTTGAAAAAAATAAAAAAATATTAATTAACGTTTGCGAATTTATCTATAGAAACATTTCGTTTTGCTGACAAAAAAAAAAGTGAAATTATAATAGCAAAGTAGTAAGGCTGATAATTTAAGTTAGTTTAATTTTAAGTAATTGAACATACATATTTGGGGTACTCACAACGTGTCATTAAGTATCGTAAAATCATAAAGTCATAAATTTTTATACTAGTTTAAAAAATTGAAAAATAAGTTTACGCAAATACTATACAACTCTGAACGCTATATTTTCGGATCGTTATAACTTATAACTTTATGACAGTATGTGAAACGCCTAATTGTATGTTATCTATAAAATGATTGCTTTCAACTGAGTTTATATGTGTATATTCTAAAGCCAWCGTTTATGGAAAAAATTAAGCTTCATTCATTATTTTCAAAACAACTTTAACATATACTAAGTTTTAAATTATTACCACAATTCTATTATTTATAGCAATATATCCTTTCTATTTATAGCAAATCAGCTGTTTTGTCTTAAACTCTTAAGTATTTAAGGTTACTTGTAGACTTATCTTAGGCAATCCATATTAAGGTAACCTACTTTTTTAAAGAAAAAACACAGAAACTTAAAATGTAATAAGGAATGTTTATGATCATTCTAAAGAAAATTATTTGGCATTTATGTTTTGAAGATTATCTCTTTGCAATTTTCGCCACGGCTACGTCTCAGTTCGACCATTTCGACTGATATCAGGCGGTGTTGTCCGCATAGATTTTAGGCTTTACATGTTATCATAGAAAAAAGGCTAACTTTGTGGTGAACTACCGACTGGCCCAAAACGTGAAATTATACTCTCATCGAAGTGTTCTCTCAGTAAATCCATTAATTTAAGCGATTCGTGGAGAGTGGCGCCGTTTTGTTGAAACCTAATTTTGCTGAGATCACAAACTTAAATTTCAGGCATTAAATAGTCGGTTATCTTAGCTTGGTAACGGTTGTCATTGCCGATTACGTTTTCACCGGCATCATTTTTTAAGAAATATCGAACTATGATTCCACAAACCATACCAAAACGTTGTTTTTTCTGGTTGAAATGGCAGCTCTTGAATCTCTTCAAGTTTCTTTTCGTCCCAAATGCGTCCTTACATACTCCTTGAACCAGATATGGGCCTCAACGCTGAACAAAATGGTTCGAAAACGTCGGATCTTGTTGGAACCTTTCTAGAGCTCATAAAGCGAAGCGATGGCGTTTGGAAAGCACGAGCGGCCTTAGTTCTTGCACAAAATGCAGCTTGTGTACGCTTGCAATTTAAGATCTCGACCTAAAATGCCCCAAGTTGTTCCAAACGTCGGTCCGAGTTGCTGCGAACAGCGCAAATGCGTGCAGGACGTGGTCCGTTCGTTCGAATATTATCCAATAATGAATGCTAGGTCTCAAGAGGGATGCCGGTTATGTTGACCATATGTTGAGCGAAGGCGCGAAACACTTTCTTTATAAGGTGAGTTTTCGTAAACGTTGTTCAGGCGCAAGTCTTTCCATGATGAAATGCCAAATAATGCTCAACAAAAATAATATGACAGCTTGTCACGACTCAAATGGGATCTGTCAAAAAACGGTGAAAAAATTGAATTTACTTGGATCACCCCTTATATGATTATACATTATTTTCATACTTCCATATTTTTTACTAACCAATCACTAATGTTGTCTGTTCATCCGGAAGCGACCATAAAATCATCTATTAAGATACATTTTTTTTAGATATTTGTAGCATAACCTAGAATTATTAAAAAATCAAATAAAAATAATATTAAAACTGTGAAGAAATATGATTATGAAATAATTTTCTCCAACTATATATTTAATAGAATTTTTGTAGTTTCTAAACATGTGATCAAAAATATTTACCTCGATGTTGTAAACAATTAGTCCCCATTTTTACCTTGAAATACTATATTTAATCAAATTGAGCATAAATGGAATGTATAAACTCCCGCATGTTTGTATGTCTTTGACCTACCTTTTTATGTCAGATCAGTCAAAGATAGGTGCCCTAAAAATTTAATAGGCCGAGCAAAGGTTTTACACCTACATACATCTCTAAATTGAATAATTCGAATACCAAGACCTTACTTTTTACTTAATATTTAATAGTTGCACTCGTAAGTCATAGGCATTTAGGCCTAAGTTAGGTTAGGTAATAATTAAAATGACAAAAGCGAGTACTACAAGCTTAAAAGCTAACTTAAGAGGTTAGGCTTCAAGACGGGCCTGACTTTGWGACATTATTCTAGGAGTAAAAAAATAGGAATCGAATTTTTCTGTGTCGGGCTTCATTAATCATAAATTTATTCGACACGAAATGGTGTCTACAGGGCCAATTTTCGAATGCAACTTTTTAGGTGGGCTTCTACATGTGTGTTTACTAAAACAATACAGGAGTTTTAATACCATTCAATAAGGCATTTTTATAGCATAATAAGATATAAAAAGATCTTGATCGATCAGTGGTGTATAGTTCTCCAATTTGTACAAATTCTTCGCAGATTGTAGCGATGCTTTAGATACTAATATATGCCAAGCTTCTTGAAGATAACATGATAAATTAAAACGGGTTTCCATACAAGGACTTGAGTTCGATCGCTAAGTATATTAAATATATAGCAGTCCTATCTGAATATGTTCGGTGATTGAACGATATTTTGAATAATAACTTCTGCAAAATTTCTTAAAGATATCTCGTCAAGTTAAAAGATTTTCTTTACAATCACTTCTTTTAGATGATTTAGTTTGTATAGCAGATATACTATGCTATAGTTGTCGGACATCGGCAAATGACAAGCGACAAATGAGCAGCATCTTAATAAGAAAAAAACTTTAGCAAAATTTCAGAACGAAACCTCAAAAACTGAAAGAACAGTTCGTATTTATGCAGACGGACAAACGAATAGACATGGCTAAATCGACTCAGCTTGTTAAGCTAATCATTCATAGTTAACTAAATTATGTTAGTGTGAGATGTAATTTCAATTGAGTACGTGCAGTAGTCGATAGTCAGCAATCGGCAATAGCCGCCGGTGTCTACGCCAATAAAGCATAAGAAGACGTGCAGTAGTGTCTTAATACCATCGTCTAAATTAAAAAACAAAAATTACAGTTTCATAAAATATGGGTTTGAGGTATTATCCGCGGAAGGTAATTGAAAAAGAATTTTAGCGCCCTAAAGTATACTAGCAGAGTTTTTTTAAGCACAAGACTCGTCTGATCTCTTAAACATATGTATTCGAATTTGAAAAAAATATTAATTTTATATTTTTTGTATA